CTTCAACTCCCAGAATTCCCCAGCCCGTCTTGCTGGCTTGGGGATTCTGGGGGGTGAAATTCACCCATCTTAAAGCAGCCAAAGTTGAGAAACACTGCTCTATGTGAAGTGAGGGGGGCATGGATGAAATGACAGGTCTTCTCTGCGGTGGTCCCCACACTCTGGAATTCCTCATCCCTAAAGATCCTTAAATCCCCCTTTCTCATAGCTTTTAGAAGATGGCTGGCTGGCTTGACCGAATTAGTTTGTTTGGGGGAAAAAAATCAGTCCAGTTTTTGGGGGGCAGGTTAGTTTTACAGATTGCTCTTGGTTGTCTAAGCCACTGTAAGAAGGCACCCATTTTACAGCTTCAATTCTTTCCAACCCCTCCAAACAGGAAAAGGAAGAACAGAAATATTCAGCTTTGACAATCCAGGGGAAGGAGTCTGGAGACCGCAAGTGGGGGCTGGGGGCTGCTTGCAGTTCCCCGGCGGACCCAGCCTTTGGGTATCAAGAGTCAGCAACCCTCTGGGACGCGTTTGGAAATCTGAAAGCATTCTCACAAAATGGCTGCCTTGGGTTTTCCTGTTGTGGTCTGCAAATAATCGAGCGTCTGCAGCCGGTGGGGCCCGATTCAGAGCTGGGCGCCAGATCCTGGCCGAGCACCTAACACAAGATCACTGTGCCAGCTCTGAAGGGTGATCCTGGATCTTGTCTCCTTGATGCTGCAGCATGCCCAATTGGGCTACCCCAGCCTGGGCGGCCTCTGGGCCCTTGCCCCTCCTTTGCCCACAACTTCCCAAACTACAGACCTTTGCTCCTGCAGCTTTTGCTCCTGGCCCTGCCCTCAGACCCTCTGCTTCACATTCCCTGAATCCTCTGATCCCAGATTGTCAAAGATAACTTGGGTAGCTCTCTCTGCTCTTCTCGGTGAGCAAATTGCTAACTGCTCCAGTCACCAGGCGAGTTGCAGACTTTCTGACTCTGGCTAATTACCCAATTCCCAGCTGTTATCAGGACATCTGTGACGTGGCAATAAAGCCTTTCAGACCTGCATCGGTCTGGCTGTTGGTTCCGAATCAGCGGGCACAAGGTATTTCCTTCTGCCAATGGCTGCCGTGACGTTCAGGCCCGGGCCCAAAACACTGACCTATCAAAGGCAGTTGAGGAAATTATTCCCAGCCACTCCATTTAGGCTCCTCATGATACTTCTTACCATCTCCACTTATTTCCTGACAGGTGAGTACACTTTCAGACAATACCCTAGACCGAAACTAAAATTTATTTTTATCTTTCAAATATGGCCTAGAGGGCCTCTTGGGGCCAAGAAGAAAAACTGGTAATAAAGATGATGCTTTGCAGAGTTCCATCGTCCTTTAAAAAAAAATGACGTGTATCTTTAAGTGAATCATTAATATATATTAAAGATACATCTCATATAATATTAATAATATTAAAGTCCTGCCCCATTATATATAATATATAATATATATTTAATAATATTAAAGTCCTGCCCCATAATATATAATATATAATAATATTAAAGTCCTGCCCCATTATATATAATATATAATACAATATTATAATAATAATTATTA